GTAAAGGAGTCAGCACAACAAGCCATATGATCAGTAGCACCAGAATCAACAACCCAAGAATGTTTAAAATCATTACATGAAGAAAGGAAAGAATAAGTTTTGGAGCTCATACCAGTCATAGTCAAAGCACTAGTATCAGATGGCTTACTCATAGAATCAAGAATGGTTCGGAGCCGTTCCAACTCATCTGGAAGAAATGCAGGTTGGGTCTTATTAGGTGCAGGAGTTATTTCAGAGGAAGTAAAATGCGCTTGACCACGCAACCTTGCCATCTTTTCTAAGACAGTTTGCTTTCCATGGAGGCGAAAACATAGATCTTTGATATGACCTGTTCTATTACAATAAGAACACCATCGATCATCTCTTCTAGAAGATGCACCATCAGAAAACTTGGTAAAAGAACTCCTTTGAGAAGAGGTCATACTGCACAAAACTTGTCAAAGAATATCACCAAGTATCCAAAAAATACGGAAAAAATACCAAACGACGTCCGATCTGAGAAAAAATCACAGATCCAGAAAGAGGATGAAGAGACGATCAGAACGCTGTTGACCGAAGCTGGAAAGAAGCAGTCACTCGCCTCCACGCGCCGGTGGAGGTGTCTGCGAGTGGGCCTCACTCGCCGGGAGTGTGGAAGCGCGTGGGAGCGTGTGCGGCGATCGCCGGAGCTGGGATTTTCACCGTGAGGTCGTCCGGAGGTGGCGGTCCCTTATGTGGCTGAGCGGAGTCCAAACGGTTACCAGAAAGTACTGTTCTAGTGATGAACAGTAGTGGGTTTGAGTCGTTCTTAAGAGATCCGGCTGTCAATTGATTGTAAAAGATCCACAGACTGATAGATCAGAGAAAAAAGGTTTGGAAACAGGTCCTCTCGGTCCAAAAAAGGTCCCCGAAAAAATTTCCGGTGGCGGCTGATTGGCAGCGAGAGAAGGAAAGAAGAAGCGGTAATTGCGGAAGCAGAGCCCTCAGGATCGAGAGCTCTGATACCATCTTGAAAGAAAAGGGTATTTGAAATATTATTGAATTGTAAATAATCTGTACAAAGGATTCTCTATTTATAGAGAATACTTGACCTAATTTTGACCTAATAGGCTTGGCCCAATACAACAAATAAATGACTAAATAATAATTATTTACAACAAATTTTCACATGAGAGGATCCAGACCCAAAATAATAGATCAGTTCTTTATTTCGCCCCATATAGCATAGGATGTCCCTTGTCTAGAAATGTTGAACATAGGCATTAAAGCCTCCTCCGATTGTGGAGCCTGGAGAAATTGTTGGAAACTTTAGCAAGTGTACTAGTGGTACAAATAAGAAAGCAGCGCGTAGAGTAGTATGATTTCTACGAGGATTAGTGTTTCAAGCATTAATTCATTATTTTTACTTAAGTTAGACAATTCAAATGAGATATTTAATTGTAAACTAATAAATAATTAAAATAAAACAAGAATAGGAACGCAAAAACAAAGATTTATGCAATTAATTAAACAAAGGGTAAAACTAGAGTCATGTTACATGAAAATATAACCATTTCCTGCGGACACAAAACAATAGATGGGCCCACGTGTTTTTAAAAATGAAAATAAAATAAAAGAAAGCACAGAGATCGATGTATCAGGTGGACAAAATTTTGATTTTCCGGTAACAGGACAGATGTTTAACCCTTAAACAAAACATAGTTAGAGATTCTCCGATTTCCCCCAATTTTTCATATTTGTTCTGAATAAAAAACTTAAGTAAACGTTCTTTTTATATCGCCAATCGATTTTCCTAAATTAATTAAGACTCAATTTCTTGATATTCTAATTCTTTAATTTCCTTAAAAAATCATAGTTCCTTGATTGTTCTTCAAAGAAAATAAGTATTAAATTTAAGAATCACACAAGACTACACAATTTGTATGTCTATGCCTAGATTCACACAAATTAATGATGAATTTTTCAAGCCCAATTCGCATATCAACATTCCTTTTGTCATACATGAATCATGATTCAATCTATAAGATCAAGAACTCATAAAAGACATTACGATAAAATAAATTCATTCAACATAAAACAGAAAGATTGCATAAAGACTAGCTCGGAAATATAAAGATTCAAATGTGTTCCATCTAACTGTAACTACTAAGAAAACTAGTCAGACATGGTAAAAACAAGAACGCAACAAGATGTAATAGTTTCCCCAAACTCTATTTATGTGATGGTGCGGATAATCTTTACGATCTCTATCGTAATCCTATCTTTGACTCATCTCTGCTCTCAAAAACATAAAAATCCAAGCAAATTTGCTTTCGTGATGTCCAAGGTTCCTCCGGTGTCAAAATATATCTAATTGTGTAATTCCTCTTAAGAATGACTTAAATAGATGAGGGAATCCTTATTTTAGGTTAAAACCATGTAATGGGCCTTAAACTAGATTTAAGAGTGATTTTAGCCAAATAACTATAAATTTTCATACTTTAAACTAGATTTAAGAGTGGCTTTAGCATTTTAAAACATCACAAATTACGAGTTTATCAAAAATATAACTGGACATGTTGTCTTATCCTTCGCCGTTGACTGTCACGATGTAATCTTTATCTTTGTGTTGTGAATGAACAAATGTTTTAAATGAATGAGTGTATTTTTTCTTAGGCATTTTCGGAGAGCATTTTAGTAGTAATTCAATGCTTCAAATTCAGCAAATCTCCCAGGAAGTCAAGTCATTCTCCAATGAGGGAGCTGGTGGTGTTGCTCCCCGCCTGTATGATTGATTTTCCTTTGTCAATTTCTTGTATGTATTTATTCAGATTTCTTTTGGGAACTCATTTCCATCCTAATATACGCAATTTTTCTTTTAATTTTATTTATCATAATTCCCAGCACGCACCCTCTTCCGTTTTTTTTTAAACAAATTAGAATATGTTGCGGACTCAAGAAAAGAAATAATGCTAAGCTATTTCCTATAAATAAGGTGTTGGAGTTTTAATGAAGTAAAACAGCACTAGCTAGCAATATGGAAAAACTCGGGAGAGTGACCATTTTGTCACGTTTGGACAAAAAATTTACCAGACTATCACGCCAACAGTAAATTTTGCCAAAATGCCACGCGGCATAATTCGCTACACAGTGTAGCGAATTATGTATGCAAGTAATTCGCTACACAGTGTAGCGAAATATGCTACGTCAGAGACAAAAATGCCACATGTCAAATTTTGCAAAATTCGCTACCCTATGTAGCGAATTTTGCAAAATTTGACATGTGGCATTTTTGGTTCTGTGCGTTCTGACGTGGCATATTTCGCTACACTGTGTAGCGAATTACTTGCATACATAATTCGCTACACCGCGTGGCATTTTGACAAAATTTACTGTTGACGTGGCAGTCTGGTAAATTTTTTGTCCAAACGTGACACTTTGGTTACTGTTCCGAAAAACTCTATGCATTTATATAATTTTTTCCTTTTTTATTATCCCTCCCAACAACGCGTGAAACTGGGAGAGATGGTTCTCAAGGATAAAGGACTAAACTCATGATCTTTATCTTTCATCCAACAACTATATTATGAATAATTTTATATTCTCTTAATCAATAATTTAATAATATTTTTACACATTTAAAAAAAATATTAAATATTTTTTAAACTTTCAAGCTGCTAAATATATCTTTTCTTTAGTTTAATATTTTTTAAATACTTGAATATATCAAGTTGCTTTATTAAGAGGATAGAAATTACGTTTTGTCGACTAATATACGTGCAGCTTACTAAGTTTTTCAGTGAAACTCTTCTAAATTTGTTTTTTTTTTTTTTAAAAAGAAAAGAAAATGAATTTGGGTTATAAATATCTGGGCAAAAAAATTTAAATATTGTTTTTTAATAAATAATTATATAAATATAATCGTTTGAAACTATTTACAGAGATATAGCATTCAAACACGCCCCACAGGAACGTAACTGGTTGGAGAGAGACACTCTTCATTTTGGCGTGACCGAAGAGAAAGACACTCTCATTCTCATATTCATTGCATGCTATTAATGAGAATGACGACATATTTGCAACTAACCTAACCTTATCATAACTTACCATAATCATAAGGATCTTTATTATTAATGTTTCTAATCATATGAGTGGTTTTCTATTTATTAATTTGGATTTAAATGTTCTTTTGGTTAGCATTGTTATAAATTCAAATTTTTTTTGTCACATACAAAATATGCCAAATGAGGTGTCATTACGTAGATCTTGAAAAGTTATGTGGAATAAAACAAAAAATTACTTAATTCGGATACCCGAGTCAAAAGTTATGGACTTCCAAAATTTTACGATCAAACTGTTAACTTTTGTGTCACGTGGCAGTACTTGGTGAAACACGCTCTAATAGGAAGTGTCTCTCTCCTCGGTCACGCCGAAATGGAAAATGTCTCTCTCCAACCGGTCTCGCCTCTGTGGGGCGTGTTTGACTGCTATACTTACCTAAATAGTTTCAAAACGATTACATTTGTGTAATTATTTATTAAAAAAAGTAATATTTAAATTTTTTTTCCTAAATATCTCTCCACATGAACAAAAATGAATGAAAATCAGATCAATCTTTGCTGGGTCGGATCTGTAATTGATCCAGAATCAACGGTGGTGGTTGGTGGATTCGGTTGGCCCAAAACGTGATGGCATTGCATTTGCACACAAAGGCCCTACCTAGACACTAAAAAACTCAAAAAGCAACGAAGGAGTCATGATAGCAGCCACCACAATCTTCCTATAGAACCGTTATACAACGGAACACATCCCCGGTAACCAAATTCAAATAAACATACTCTCTGAAAAGCTAAAGAGAAAAATCACCAAAAAGCAAAAGAAATTCCCCTACTTTCCCTTCCTTTTTTTTCAAATGCAACTTCCAATGCTCTAATATATTAAACTTAACTATAGTCCTTCTTCTTCCTCATTCCCACACACACACACACACACACACACACATTCCCTTTGTTTTCATAATTCTTATCCCCAAATCAATCAAAATGGGTTGCTGCATTAGCAAATGCAGACCCGAAAAACATACCCTAGAAGATCAATTCAACCATGTCCAAGACAAGCTTGTCATCTCTCAAACTCAACCAACACCAATCCTTTATTCTTCAAAAAAAATCTTACCTTCTCCTTCATCTCCGACCTCTTCCACTTCTTCCATTTCATCCTTCACATGCACCACTTCCAACACTATATGTTCAGCCTCGTCCTTATCAACTGCTTCATCATCTTTGAGCTCAAAGGACAGATCATTCTCTAATGATTTCCTATGGTCATGTTATAAGGAGAACCCACATATCACTCGCATGAACTCAATCAGAGAAGCCACTCTTTCCTCGATGCCCACTAAACCTAAAGCTCAATCAATGAAGATAACAAACCCTTCACCTATTAAACCCATCTTGGCACCAATATTGAAGCAATCTCCATCACAAAAGGTTGTTGGGTCGTTTTCCATGCCACAGAAGAGGGTTCGATCAAACTCACCGACGAATCTAACAAGACAGAAGAGTTTCCGAAAGGAGCCAGAGAGGAATATCAGTGTTAATTCTGCTTCGAACATGCTGAGCAGAACAACACTAGGGTCACCTTCTCCGAGCAGGAGATTCAATAATGGAGACAAATGTGGAAGTGCTTTGGGTAACACGTTTGCAGATAATAGTGTTTCTAAGCGAATGATTAGTGCTCCGAAGGTTAGTGCAACTCATTCTCATTGTGTTTCGTCTTATCTAAGGAAAGAGAGTGTTAAAGCAGCTAGTCCAAACAATAGTTCACGAAGGGTTCATTCTGGTTTGAGGCATAGAGAGACTCGCACTCTCAGAGTTGGTTCTAAAATTGATGAAACCGTGGTTAACGATGTGCTGTATAACCATGATATGGACTCAACTATGATGGAGGATATTAACAATCCGCTTATCTCCTTGGACTGTTTCATCTTTTTGTAGAAAACAGTGTGTCCTATAGATTGATATATTTTGGTGTTCATAGAAAGTTCCAAACCAAATTTCTGTTTTTGCTTGTTTGTTTGTTTGTTTGTTGTTTTTCCTTTTTAGCTGGGGACCTTTTAGTGATAAGATTAAATACACTCAGTGTGTGTTTGATTCTTGATTGGTTTGAATTTGTTGTGTTTTAGTATAATGGGAAAAATTCTTATATAAAGTAAGAATATTATATCCAATTATTGACATTTATTATTTAATATTTTAAATCAATGTAATATATGATTATATTGTCTACTTAATTATTACAATTTTAATGATCTAGATGCAGTAGTACGAGACATAAAGGAGAATTTCTTATTAGAAAGACATCAAAATAAATGGGCAGTGTCTAAGAAAAAATAAATAGTAAGCAATTAGGATTTCCCAAATTACGAGCCTGACAAGTTCACCCCAAGCGCTACTCTAAGAAACATAGTAGTAGAGAAGATATGAATACAAAACTATTACTCAAATCACAAATGGTGTTCGCTTTTTTGTTTATATTGTTTTAATGATTTGTTTACTTCATTTTTTTTCACAATATATGTTTGAATTAATTAAGAAAGAATAATGTAAAAAGTCATTAATAAACAATGATGTGCAAAGAGATATATAAGAATAGTTGTGAGAATATTGAAAATGAGTTATTCATTGGTAAAGGAGACTTATACGCCTACCAAAAAAAGAAGAAGGAGGAGACTTATACATTGTCTTTACCAATTAAATTGTAGATAGAATCAGTATTCTTATTCCGAAAGTAATTAGTTTGTGGTAATTGCAATATTTTGATTCAGTGTAACTTAATCTAGCTATAAGCGTGAAGGAATAGTAATGTCATTCATTTGAGTTGTTAAGCATCTAGGCCCAACAATACAAAACTAAGGCCATTGAAAGGTATATAATCAGTTTGAGATTGGTCATTGGGCTGAGAGAGCCCAAGTTGTTGTGCGTTGCTTTTCATGTTGTTTTTTTCCTAGTTGCCGTCTCCAATAAAATATATAGTTACAACATGATAAAAGTATACGCATGCTTTGCAAAATGTATATCGGATTTTGAGGATACATAATTTGGTTTAGAGTGACAATTCATATATGAAATCCAGAAAACTTTTGAATTTGAGTACAAGATACCTAAATATAATTGTGACTCTTAGAAAAATTAAAACGTCCTACACTAAGCGTCAATGGACCAAAAGACAACCTCAAGGATTCAGCTAATTAATATATCAACGCAAAACAGTGACGGATCCCGAATTGGTAAAGTCATAGACCGTGTAAATGACAATTCAATAGTTATCCGGGATTCGATAAAGCGAAAGGGCAAGACGTAAGAAATTACTCAAACGCAAAGTTTGTTATTATAGAGGGGACACCATTTTTGATGTGGTCGTGAAACTAAAATATTTAGCATCAAATTTTAATTTTTAATTTTATGACTCTAATAGTTATAATTTATTGGATCATATTTATTAATTAATTATTATTAAATTGACTAAAATCAATAATTAAAATTTGGTGTGAAATGATTCTATTCCTATTATAGATGAGGAGTAAATTATAATAATATTGTACACCTGTCCGAAAAATATTTTCACAAATGAGAGAGTGACTTCGTGAAGTGAAGGATTATAAAGGCCTGCTCGTAATAATCGGTCATGAATCAGGGCTATCCTTCCCAAACCAATTATATTACTATAAGAAAAAATCTTATTAGTGTCGTAAATTTCGTCACTACATATGAAATTTGTGACGAAATTTGATTATTTGTGTCAAAAATTGTAATTTGTGACGAAAATTTTTGTCACAAATAAACTTTTTTCTTGTATGCACTTTAAACGTTTTTTTGTGTGTGGATAATAATTGCACTTTAAACGTTCGTTTGCTATGAGAAGCATACTAATTAATTTGTAAACATTTCATTTAAGTGATGCAAGGAAGGTGAGTTACGTCTCTTAAGAAGAAAAATAACGTGTTTTAATGTTTAGATAAATCATGTGAGGGAAGGTTATCATTTTGTTCCTATATTAAAGGAAAGTTGAGATTTTGAAATGGACTATGCTCATCCATTATATCACAACTTTATAAATTCTCCAACTCATTATTGTGTATAAAAATCCATAAAAAAATAATTTATAAATTGTTTTAGCAATGTTCGTCCATGACACAACCATTAGTTTGGGTATTTACGGATAATATTAAAGCGCATGATTGATCTAGGATTTAGAGAAGTCGCAACTTTCAAATTAATTTTTATTTAACCAAAAAATAATCAAATAAATTAAGTTTCACTCTCTTAATTAGGAAACAAAAAGTCATACAATTGAAATTACAAAATTATCACTACAAAAATAAAAAATAATTAAAAACTCCATCGAAATAACTCTAAAAGCGAAAAAAAACACTAGTGCCGTGAGCCTCACCCAAGAACAAATTTGAGATCATTCTGAAATGATCACCCCTGACGCATCAACAGAAATCACGCTCATTACATGACAAAACGTTGCCATTACATATTTCCTAATTCCTATTCATCCGTAGAACAATATCTTTTTTATTTTTTTGGTAACTACATGGGGCATAGCCCCACAAGACAGCAAAAAGAAACTAACAGCAAACTAAGAAAACAGTAAAAACAGAACAGAAAAGGCACCACTGATAGCCATAACAGGTCAGCAGCAGTGACTAGAACTCAGCTGGGACTTGTCCAGGATCAAGAAGGTCCGCAGCAAGAAGGTTGAGCAGCTCACTTTGAGGGGAAGGGATGGTGACAAGGCCAAAGGAATCATCTAAGGCTTTTTTTGCAATCCAATCCGCACAAGTATTGCAGCTCCTTGGAACATGTTTCAAAGAGACAGCCCAGTCTCTAATAAGAACAGCTCGAATCCTAGCCACCAGAGTTGGCTTTCGAGTTTCATTACCTGACTTGGTAAGATAGCATAAAGCTTGAATAGAATCTGACTCCAAAGTAATGCTCTTCCAACCATAACTCCAAGCAAACTCCAATCCATGAAAGATAGACCGAAGTTCAGCTTGTAAGGGGGAACATGAACCAATAAAAGCAGAAAACCCACTAATCCAAATTCCATTCCAATCTCTTAAAAGACCTACGCAAGCCGCTCTATCCACTGTTGCTGCTCCATCCACATTCAATTTGAGAATATCTGATCAGGGACAATCCATCTAGCAGGGGAAGGGTGCACAATAATTTTGGGATCATGCTGCAGCTTTCGATCTCTTCTACAGCTGCTATTTTCCTCAACTAACGCAACAAGAACACAAGCTGGACCAGCTGGACGTTTTGCTGTTATATCGTGGAGCTCTTTATTTCTCCAAGACCACGCAAAGTTGCAGGCAGTAAAGAAGAAGTCCCTCTAGTCTTTATCACTTTTAATCCCCTGATTCAAGTTAAATTGAATCCACTCTTTGAAGGAACTAGAGTTGAAGAAACCAATTGGCAACGGTTGGAAGAGGGGTGATAACCAAACATGTTTTGCTTTAGGACAATCCCTAAAAGAATGAAGGCTTGTCTCCACTAAATTTGGACACGAAGGGCAGTTATTTGAAGAACCACTCCATCTGCTAATGTATTCTTTGGTTAGCATCCTCTCATGAAGCATCTTCCATATGAGAATTTTGTTCCTCTCTTTTCCTTTCCAGCTCCAAACTCTATCCCAATTGTCATGGCTGTAATTATTGGCATTGCTAATCAGGTTCCTGTACGCAGATTTCCCAATGGATTAGCCTGGTGACACATTTGTCCAGCAAAGATAATCCTCTCCTGCTTCCTCACTCGGACAAGGGATGGCCAGGATCTGATTCACTATACTCCTATCAAAGTGATGCATAAGGAATTGAATATTCCACCCTACACCTGACAGAAAGGAACTATGATTTCACTTGAAAGCAACATCCTCATCTGTAAGGGAAACATATGCAAGGGACAGTAGATCAGTATTGGAACCAATCCAATTATTTTTCCAGAAATTAACTTTCTTGCCATTTCCAATCTGCCAAGAGATATTTCTAATCATGTTTGGCCAAATTTTAGCTAGGCTCTTCCACAAATGGGAGTCATAAGCTTTGCTAGTAACTTCCTTCACCAGATTTTTGTTTCTGCCATATTTAGTAACTAACACACGAGCCCATAGTTGCTCAGGGGACTGAACTAAGGACCAGGCACACTTATGGAGAAATGCTTCATTTTGCTTTCTTAGGTTGATAATACCCAGACCTCTTTGGTTTTTTGGTAGCTTGAGTTGATCCCAGTTAACCGAATGACTCTTCCTTTGATTGTCTGTGTCGCCCCATATGAATTTCCTTTGGAGTTTTTCAATATCCTCACAAATACCTTTATGGAGAAGACTATTCTCCATGCTGAACATAGGAATGACTGAGATGACAGATTTAGCTAGAGTAACTGACAAACAGTTCTTTTTCCAGCCTTGAAGCCTGCCATTAACTCTATCCATGATATCCCCATAGTGCTGTTTGCTGATTCTCCCATGTTTCATCCTATAACCCAGATATCTGCCAATAAACTTGGTATGAGCAAAGCCACTTAATTCCACAATAGCACTAGAAAGCTCAGAGGCAACATTCCTTGAGAAGAAAATGTTGGATTTGGGGTAGCTAACCTTTTGTCCAGACATATCTCCAAAAGTAGCAAGGCAATTTATGATGATCTTTATCTGGTCAATACTTGCTTCACCAAAGAGCAGTAAGTCATCCGCGAAAAGCAGGTGAGAGATTGGAGGATCACCTTTACCAGCTGACATAGGCTTCCACTGTTTGGTATTCATGCGATCTACAATTAGGTGGGACAACTTCTCCATGCAAAGGACAAAGATGTAGGGGGAAATGGGGTCCCTCTGTCTAAGGCCTCTACTAGGGGAAATTCTACCCGATTGAGTACCATTCCAGAGAATTTCTAGCTCAAAAGAAGAAATACAATGCATGATGAGCTGC